GGAAACTGAGTTAACAGAGAGGTTTAGTAACTTGATCAGGGCCACAGAGCTTGTAAGTAGTTCAGTTGGGATTTGAACCGGGAAGTCCATTCTACAACACATGCACTGAAACACTATATTTTTTCTTTGGCATGGCGAAGTATAACATAAAACAGAAAAGTGCACAAATCAAGTGTATGACTCAATAAATTTTCACAAAGTTAGTAGCGTAACCAGCACCCACGTCAAAGAACAGGACATTATCAGCTCCCTGCCTGCCCTCCCACCCCCGTCCCAGGAGTTCCAAATATGCATCCCCTTAATCTTTACCCCTTTCCCACCAAGGGAAACCACTGTCCTGACTTCTCTCACCACTCTTCTGGGGGTTTCTTCCTTGTCTTCCTATTTTAATCACATTTGTATTTCAAGTATCATGGAGTCTGTTGCTAAAGTTAAAAATATCCTATCTTGCAGGAATAGAGGTGGGGGTGGTTTGGGAGAACACATTCCATAGATACGAGAAATAATTGAGAGTGGGAGAGCTAGGGAGCAGTTGCTCCATTTCCCCTCATTTTCTTTGCTTGTTAGCGTGAAGTTCTACTCCTTCCTCGGTTGTCCTTCTCTAGGACTACATCTCCCAGCAGGCTATGCTCTGACAGCTCTCAGATTTAAATAGGATTCTGGGCTACATTTAGAGACAGGCTGCTGTTGAGAGCGTGAGAGGAGCTGGAGGAGGGAGAAGCAGCAAGGAGCAGCAAGGAGCTGCAAGGAGCAGCAAGGAGCAGCAAGGAGCAGCAAGGAGCAGCAAGGAGCCAGACCAGGAACTTGAGCCAGAGTTGGAGTCAAAAAGTTGCTTTTGCCAAAGAATCAGCAACTACAGAAGTTGAAAACATGCTGGTTATCTTGGGACTGCTCATCTCTTTCCTTTCTTTCCTGTACATGATAGCTCCATACATCAGGTTTGTTTTAATTCAGTAACTCGTTCAACATTTTACAAAACCCTGAAGTGAGAACCACGGAGCTTGTAAGTAGATGAATTCTCAGCTGCTAAAAGGAGAGAAAGGGATGGGAGCCGAGGGAGAGAAAGTCAGGGCAGAAAAAGCAGGAAGGAAGGAAGTGATTATGGATACCATGGTAGAAAATGATAAGGAAGCACCTGGGGCTGAGAGGCTGCTAGTAGAGGGCTAAGTGGATGACTCTGCTAAGTAGCTTGACAGACAACTTAGATGGGAGTCCTCGCTCTTTCAGTCTATTCCCTTGGGTTCCTCTGAAGTTCTTCCTTCACTGTTTCTAGTCAGGGTGGCCCTGCTGGTTACTATGGGTGGTTACTGCCTTGGAACTAACTCATTGTTAAGTACTAGGCGTTTGGGGAAGGAAACAAACTCTCTTCCTTCAACTAATGTTTTGGAATGGCTCTTTTGCTGTGGGATTTCTGGAGGTGTTAAAGAGATGCATGTTCTGAGTAGAGAATTTTAAAATTGCTGATGATGAAGGTTATATGGACATATCAGGGACAGAGTGTTGCTCTAGGTCCTGCATAGAAACCTGAGTTCACATTTCAGTTTTGCCGCCATTAGCAAGCGACTTGGACTTCTTCGAGCCTCAGTTTTCTTCACTGAGGTCGAGAGGGTTAAAATAAATTCCCTAAGGAAAGTGCCTAACCTAATGCCTAGCAGTCGAACGATGCTTAGGAAATCACCTGTTCCCTCTCCCATCTTCTTTCTAGAACTTGTCAAGTCAACTTATGTAAAAGGATATTCTCTGCTCACACAGAAGTGTGAGCTAGGGAGATTTTCTCTCTGTGCACTGAAGGCTTAGAATGAAATCTCTAGTATGATGGCAGAAAGCTTCTGAAGATGCTGGCTCTCTAAAACTAGAAAGGGAGCCCAAGGGCAGTATTTGTCTGTGGGACCCCTCGAGGTGCTGTTCATCAGTTACTCACCGGTGATGCTTATTGAAGACCTAGGGCTCAGGACCACTGATTCCACTGATGCTCTTTGCCCATATGTTTTAATGCAGGTCAGAGGAGGAAGCTGACCTCTGGGAATCTCTAGAGATAAGAGCTTTGTTATGTTTGTTATCTAATAAGGAAGGTCTCCATTGGCCCTGGCTCAAAAGCACTTATTCTGTTTGCCCAGGTGACCATTTATACCTTCTGGACATGTGACCCTACAACTTGAGCTGATGGCAGGAGACTCCCTTGCTCACTGGGAAAACATCCAGAAGATTAACTTCTTTAGGTCTCCTGACAACAAAAGAAAGAAATCCCTTTGAGGCCAGATGGATTTAATGTATCTCAGTCTGAGATTGGGAAGGATGGTGCATGAATACTTTTGTTTCCCTTGCCTATAGAAAGTTCTTCGCTGGTGGGGTTTGTAGGACAAATGTGCAGCTTCCTGGTAAGGTAGTGGTGATCACCGGCTCCAACACAGGCATCGGCAAGGAGACGGCCAGGGAGCTCGCTCGCAGAGGCAAGTCCTTCCACTTCCATGTCTACAGGGTGGCACCTCTTGCCTTTCTCACTGTGGCTCTGCCCACATTTCCTTGTCTTTCCTCCTGGACTGGGAGGATCTGGCCAGGAATTCAAGGAACCTCGGTTCAAGTTAAGCTGTGACACCAACCTGCTATGTGCCCTTACACAAACCTGCTATGTGCCCTTTCCTCCCTGCTCCCTTCCTGTTATATAAAGTATGGAAAACAATGATATCTGTGTATAGGATTGGTCAAGTCCATTGTTCTAAAAGGAGATACTAAGCAACATTAAATATCAGCGTATAAAAATCAGGGTTTCTAGCCTGGAGTTAAGCTGATCAGTAAGCAGCGAGAATACTGAAGTGGCAAGATAGCCTCTCATTGCCTTAGAGCTGGCTTTAGAATGCTCTGTCCACCAGTCCCAAACTCACTGTAACTCTTCTTCAGCCTAGAGTCTGAACACATTGCCCTCTCTTTGTTTTGGCCCCAGGAGCTCGAGTATACATCGCTTGCCGAGATACACAGAAGGGGGAGTCTGCCGCCAGTGAAATCCGAGCTGATACGAAGAACTCCCAGGTGCTGGTGCGGAAACTGGACCTATCTGATACCAAATCCATTCGAGCCTTTGCTGAGGGCTTTCTGGCAGGTAAGACCCCAGTGAGTAGCTAGAAAAGCAGGAAGCTGGGTGTGGGAGAGCTGCTCTACCCTGGACTATCTCTAACCCTTACATCGGAACCATCACTGATCTCGCTGGACAGGTTCTGCCACATTAATCAGCAGGGCAGGGAATTGGCACGGGGATGGTGGGTGAACAAATTGGGCGGGATCCTTATCATCTCTTTGCTTCAGCAATGGGAATGTTAGAAGTGTCACCTGCCTGTGTGGACTTGCCCCTTGACATCAAGAATTGGCCCTGATGCCGCTCTCTTTCATCCTGAGAATCAACCTTCTGTGGCTACAGGTGCCAAGCGAGATTGTGCTGCTGCCATAATTGTTCTGCATCATGGAAAAAGACCAGCTTTTACTAACAACTATGAAATCCATGAGGGACAGGGACCATGTCTGTCTTGTTCTACCACTGTATGCCCAGTGCCCAGCAGAGTAGGCCTGCCCCAGAGTCAGTACTCATTATGTTTGCTGAATGAATGGATGAATAAATGAATGGTGTCCAGGAAGATATCAGTAACTAAAGTGAGAAACCCAAGAGACAGTGGTTGTTGAATATCACTAAGATAGATCCAAAGGCAAAGAGCAAGTACTCAGGACTATGACAGGCAGCTAGTGGACTCCATGCTAACCACAGGGTCTCAATGGTTGTGCTACAGAGGAAAAGCAGCTCCATATTCTGATCAACAATGCAGGAGTGATGATGTGCCCATATTCTAAGACAGCTGATGGTTTTGAAGCCCACATAGGAGTCAACCACCTGGGTAAGTATCTTAGAGTGACTGAAAAGCGAGGCTGACCCCACTTTGTCCTCTGTAGGGAGATGACCTTATGCCAGTGTCGAGAATCTGTAGTGGTCCTCGTAGAGCCCACGGTTCCAGTGGACTGGACATATTCATATTTTGTTCACTCCTTTCCTGACCAGTCCAAAAAAATGAGATCTTCTTACCCATACCACGAATAAACCCAAAAACTTTGGAGATACAAGGAAGAAGAATGCCATTCTTGGATGGGGCTGTGGTAGCACAAGGTTTGCCAATCAGGGCCAGACGTCGGGGGTGCAGGAGTCTGTGTTTGGTTGGAGGAGGATCACATCTATAACTGAGGGCCAAGCAAGCCAAAGGTTGGTCCATGGAGGAGGCAAAACTTGAGGACTTGAGGAATGAGCGAGGCTGGGGGTCAGAGTTCAAGGTGATGGCTCTAGCGAGGAGACCATGGAACATGTTCTCTGATCCTAGGAAAATGTTATTTGAGTGTACCTGGACCCAGTTATGTGATCATGACCAGAGCAGGGTCGGAAGCCAGCAGGTGGCATTTCTCCTGACTGGGGCAAAGGCAGACATACAAACAAGTACAGACTAAGTCTATATTGTCTTACTTATAGTTTAGCTCTTGCCCTTGCCTTAAGAAATCCACTAATTGAGACTGACTGGCCACTAGCACTGAGTTACATCAAAATTTGTTCACGCCCAGAAGAGAGTGAGATAAGGCTGAAGTCCTGTCATCAGGTTCCACATCCTGAGCCTGGGCAGCCGCTCCACTCTTCAATATTCTTGCCGGCTCTTCTTGCAGGCCACTTCCTTCTCACCCACTTGCTCCTGGAGCGGATGAAGGAGTCTGCTCCTGCACGGGTGGTGAACGTGTCATCGGTGCTCCACCATGTTGGCAAGATTCACTTCCATGACCTCCAGGCTGAGAAGAACTACAATTCATGTTTTGCTTATTGCCACAGCAAGTTGGCCAATGTGCTTTTTACTCGTGAGCTGGCCAAGAGGCTCCAAGGTAAGTCTGGAGAAAGGGCCAAGGTTAAGATAGCAAAAGCAGAGTCTTTAGTTCAAATTAGAGGTTCACAGAAACTTCTGTAGTCAGGATGTCAAACGTGTACATTACAACAGTATCTCTGTGCACTAAGGAGAATGAAGTTATGAGCAGAATAATAACAGAATCTTTGCTCTCAGGAAGCTTAAAATTGAATAGGGGATAGGAACCTATAAGGTTACCTTACATTTATGTCACAGCTTATTTCATATCTATTATCTGATTTGATTTTTCACAACAACCTCTTGCAGAGTTTGGGAACAATGGTATTTACTATCAAAACACAGAAGGTAGAAAAGTAATCATTAAAAGAAATAATAATAATAAAGTAATAACAGAGTTTTGTGTGTGCCATTTACTATACATGTCTTAACTCATTTAATACAACATTCCTATGAGGTAGGTGCTGTTGTTTTCCCCTGTTCTACAGATGAAGAGATAGGCACAGATATATTAAGAAACTTGACTAAGCAAGTTTCCAGGATTGAAACCCAGACAGTCTTATCTCCAGAATTCATACTCTTTACATCAGAGTTCAGACCTTGGCCCTGCAGCCTGCTTGGGTATGACCATTGGCAATTTACTTATCCCCTCTGTAATGAGAACTGTTTCCTCAGCTGTAAATGTGTATCTTAATATTACTTACCTCAAAAGCCCAGCGAGCCCTGAGAATCAAATGAGATAATGCATGTAAAGCATGTAGCACAGCCATTTCACATAGTAAGTACTCAAAATAGTAGAGGCACCAGGGATGTTTTGGGGGCATGTTAACCCCCATCATTTCCATCGACACCCCTCAATCTACACCTCATAGAATGTGCTTACCTGGCAAATGCAGCTCAAAACATTAGCTTCCTATCTTTCAACCAGATGGCTTCCCCTAAGGCCCTCCTATAGAAATTCCGAAGATACCATTGTCCATAATCGATATTATTACTGCTACTGGTAGTACAACTGGTACATGTGTTTGTTTCTATGATTAATACTAAAGCCACAGAGAAAGGTGACATTGAAATAGGAGGACCTTCAGCTAAGGAAGCACTCCTTTTGGAGCACAGAAGGCTGAGAAGACTATAGGTCTTTCTGGAAGAGATCAATTACTAGTCAGGTTCTCCCTGGCTAGCAGCAGCACTTTCTGAACCCTGGGATTTTGCTTCTTGAGTCTTTTCTTCTCACTTGTGCATTTTATGGCAGGAGGTGAGCTGTGTCAGTGGGCTCAGAGTATGTCCCTGGTCTAACTGGGCTTTGTCTTAGGCACTGGCGTCACCACCTACGCAGTACACCCAGGCGCTGTCCACTCTGAACTGACCCGGAACTCCTTCCTGATGTGCATGATCTGGTGGCTCTTCTCCCCCTTCATCAAGTCGGCATGGGAGGGGGCGCAGACCACCCTGTACTGCACCCTGGCTGAGGGCCTGGAGCCCCTGAGTGGCAACTACTTCAGGTACGTGGAGGCAGTGCAGGTTCTCTCCACCACCTGTGTGCCTGGTGAGGCACAGGGCTCCCTGGACTTGGCACCCCAGGTGGCTGAGTTTGTGCCTGATAGTGGAATCCAGGTTTGGGTTGGGCCTGCAAACCAAATGCTATTATTTTTCCAAGGGAACTTACATTAAAAACTTGGAAAGAGATATTTTTATGGCTCTCTTTTATACCTGTGTGCCATGTTCCCAAGAAACTTTGTAGCTTTCTGAGAGCTGTTAGAGAAGACTGTCCCTATTGGTTATGCCTTGTGAAGAACATTAGCCTGCCTTCTTGAAGCTTTTGGCTGATTTTTTTTCATAAATTCTTTAATACCACTTATGGTTTGGACTGGGACTAACACAGAGCACTAGGGCAAAGTCACCTCTCCCCAGTGTGAACTTCATCTTCCAATGTTGCCAAGATTGGCACTGTTAGAATATAGAAATAGACATTTCAGGGTTGAGTCTTATCACAAACTCAATGTGCAAGCAGAGTTTTGGAATAAAGGGAAGCCCAGGATTAAATCTCCTTCTTATTCTATGACTTGATCCAGCCCAGTCTGCTCTTCTGTCCCACTTTGTTCAAGGCTGTTTATCAGAGCACCATTTATTAAGTGAAGCATTGGAAATAACCTTAGTGTCCAACAATACGGGAATGGATAAATGATAATAGCTAATGTTGTTTGAGCTTTTACAAAGTGTTGGACACTCTTCTAGGTGTTTTACATGTATTAATTCATATAATAATCACAATTGTAAGAGGTAAAAAAAAATATCCATTTTACAGATGAGGGAGCTGAGGCACAGAATAATTAACTTGCTCAAGGTCATATGACTTGTAACTAGTAGACCTAGGTTTTAAACCAGGCAGTCTGACTCTAGAGCTGTGCTGTTGAGTACGGTTGCCACTAGGCATATGTGGCTATTGAGCATTTGAAATATGGCTAGTCCAAATTAAGATGTACCGTAAGTGTAAAATGTGCACCAGATTTTGAAGATATCTATGAAAATAGAAATGTGAAATATCTCATTAATAATTTTTTATAGTGATTACATGCTGAAATGATTTGGCTACATTGGGTTAAATAAAATGTATTGCTAAAATTAATTTCACTCATTTCCTTTTACTTTTTATAATATACTTTACAAATTTTACCAGAAAATTTAAAATAACATCTGTGGCTCACATCTGTGTTTCACGTCATATTTCTATTAGACGATGGTACCCTAGAATCTGGGCATTTAACATCACTGCCTTAAATATGTGATAAAATACTATACGGTCACTAAATAAAATATTTTCAAGTAATATTTGACGGGAAAATGTTGGCGATACATTATTGTGAGAAAATACTGCAATACAGAACTATATAATTATTCATTGTAAATACCTAGAAAACAATTTGGAGGGGTACACAGCAAACTGTAGTAGTGGTTACTTCCAAGGAGTTTGAGGAAGCATCAGAGGGAGTGTGAAGGATTGTGACCTTTTACTCCAGGTATTTATTATTAAAAAAAAAAAAAAATTAGGATTATATATGTATTACTTGCACAATTAAAATATATGTTTTAACAAGAGAGATATCCTCTGTGAACTAGATACAGTATGATCCTAGTGTTATATATAAGAAAGACTGTATATCTATTTATATACAAACACAGCAAATAAGAGTAAAGGAAAAATAACTGAAGAATAAGCTTTTCATTTTTATCAGTACTGCATTTTCCAAGTATTACACAGGACTTTTATAATTAGAAAATAAATACTGTTTGAAAATAACACCATGAGCACTGTGTTCTGCCCTGTCTTCTCATCCTTCTAGCCCATCTTCTACTCTCCCAAAACAAAATGGGTGCTTCGTCTGGGGTTCATAGGGCACAAGTGGGTCTGTGGAAAGAATTCAAGGAGTCTGTAAATCTGGATAGGAAGATAATTTCATCTTTAATTTCACTGACCTCCATCTGAAATTTGGCATTTCCTTCAATTATGAATGTAAGCTATGTACTGCAGGATTAGTAGTGATACTTGTGATTTTGTCACCAATAAAACTACATATATTTTCATGTCGTATTGCAGTTGTTGCAGATTTTTCAGGATATCACTTCTGCTCACCACGACTATGAAATCTGGTGGTTATCAGACCCAGTGCTAGCTCTTGTTATAGAATACATTAATAAAGAGGCCTATGTATTACTATATCACAGATTTATTTTTACAACATTTAAAAACTGTACTTCAATATAATTAGTTTATTTTCATCCAGTATATTTTATACATTTAGAAATAGATTCTAAGAGGCCATGAACTTTTCCAGACTGTCAATTTCCACTTCTAGATGTTCACGTTTTCTCTGCCCTTTAGAGACTGCAAGAGGGCCTGGATGTCTCCAAAGGCCCGAAATAACAAAACGGCTGAGCGTCTATGGAATGTCAGCTGTGAGCTTCTAGGAATCCAGTGGAAATAGAGCTGATAGAAGAGTCATATATTTATCAGGTACAATCCACACCATAATGAAAGGGGACCAAGGAGAAGGCTAACCTTGAAGGATTGTCCTGCCGGCTGGCTGCTGTTGTGAATCCTGCTCTGCTCCAATTCTCCTGACCCTTCTGGAAATCTTTATATACCCAACCCTCTTTGTGAGGCTGGTTCATGGCATGAGATAGTCACACCAACAGAACAGTCTTCTCTGAGACTTGCAGATTCAGCTACCCTCTCAGGGCAAGAGGAGTAGGCAAATGCCAGCATGGGCATGAAGATGGCCAAAGAGCCTGGAAAATTAGGTCAATTTCCTCACCAGTACCAGAAACATCAGCCAGCATTCTCAGCTGAGGCGACAAGAGCATCAGCATTACCTATTCTAGGGACTATAGACTCAAACTCTTGATCGATCGCTTTCCTCTTTGAAATACGAGTCACAACTCTGGAATCTAGACCAGCTCAGGAACATCTTGGCTTAACCTTCACCAACTTTGATTCTTTTCCCTGAGCACCCTGGAGCCATTGCATGAAGCTGGACTTTCTCATTTTCTGTTTTCAGTTCTTTTTTAAAAATTAAAAGAAATTGTTTTTTAGCTTTACTGAGATATAGTTGACATACAACAATGTATAAGTTTAGACCTTCCCATTTTCAATCATGTAGATGGCTTTTGTCCTCGAGTTCCCTTCACTTCAATTTTTAGAGGAAATAAAGACTGCATTTACATCTCACTGCCTTATTTATTTTTTTTAGTGTAGCAAGAGAGAAATGGAACAAAGTGGGAAGCCAGCCTTCTGTTTTAGTGAATAGTATCTCACCCCACCCATCACCTATAACTTTTTTATAATATCTCATCTTATAATTAATGCATTTTGAACATGGTGCAAAATAAGATGTTTCAGTTGCGTATTTTCTCAAGTTTCTTCCAGGTCTCACATTGTATTATTTAAGAAAGGATAGGAATGACTTCAATTACACAGATGCTGAGCTCCACTATAGCTGAAGGCCAGAGGTAGTATGGCAATTCATTTAATTTGATACACAGATGCAGAAAAACTAAACCCTGATAACCCTCTACCTGAAATTGTAGCTCTTCTCTCTTCTGGCCTCCCTGCTATCCTGCGCTGTAGCCCTGGGTGACCTGCTTCTTGCCTCAACTGTTGAAGGCCACCAAGAAGAGGCAGGGAGATGTGCCTAATCTGTTAGCCAATTGACCCAAGAAGTCATGTTACTGGTTCCAGTTCTACAGCATCCAAAGGTCACCTTTCTGCCCTTCCATAGCAAGTGGACTTAAAAAAACCCCAACTTTTTATTATGAAAGTTTTCAAATAGACAAAAGTAGAGCAAAATAGTATCATGAATCCCCATGTACCTGCTTGTCATCCAGCTTCAACACTAATGTTCTGTCAGTTTTGTTTCATCTATATTTTCCCCATAGCATTTTTTTAGCTTATTATTTAATTACTTTTCCTTACACTCTTATTTGCTTTGTTTGTGTATAAACAGATATATAGTCTTTCTCTCTTTTTTGAAAACACATTCCAGACATCACACATTCACCCACAAATACTGTAATGTGTATATCTAAATAAGAACATTTTCTTTCTTTTCTTTTTCTTCCTTCCTTCCTTCCTTCCTTCCTTCCTTCCTTCCTTCCTTCCTTCCTTCCTTCTTTTCTTTTCTTTTCTTTTCTTTTTTTAAAATAAAACCATAATACTATATGTGAACAAAAAGATAGCTTTGCAATAAATCTGACAAACTCAGGGGACCACATGGCAGGCCTGACAAACTCAGGCACCAACAGTAACCACATTGGATGGTCTGATCACAAATTTCTAACTGGGCAGGTTATGGTGGGTAGTCACATCCCAGGCCTATAGCTTCCTCTAGCAAAGGTTAATCTTTACCTTAAGGGAGCTCTGTCCACTGTTCTTATGCATCTAGGATAACATACCTTTGAAATATCAGAGTAATTTTCTTTTCCAAACCCCCTCGTAGGCACAACCTCTGGCACCAGAGCACACCACAATCAGAGCAGGAGACCACAGAACCCCTCATTGTTATCTTGTTCCCCGCATACCATCTCTATGTGCTGTAAATGTTAATTATTAAATTATCTTATTGTATCCACCAGTTTAAAAGCTACATGTTTCTCTGTTTTGCCTTTTATCCAATCCTAGAGATTTCCTCACTTTGCTTTCTCCCGCTTCCTTAATCTACCACCAGTTGATTTCATGGAACCCTCCTTACGTCTCCTCTTTTGAGTCTAACATATAAAATAAGCTGCAAAACTGCCATTCTCTGGAGCATTTTCTCAATCCATTGGGATTTCACTTGCCGGGAACTGTCATCAGTTTGGCTCAAATAAACTCATAAAAATTCTCTACAGGTTTGGACGTTTCTTGGGTTGACATGTAACTCCTAACAACATTAATAATTCTTGAATACCATTTAATACTTGAAGTTCAAATTTCCTTGGTTGTCTCATGAATGTCTTTTTACTGCTGGTGTGTTCAAATCAGGAAAAGAGAAATGGTTCCAAAAAAAGTGGAAGCTTTTCTTTTTACGAAGCCCCCAGCAAATTTCCTTGTGCCTCACTGGCCTGAATGAATACTAGGCTCCCTCCTGAACCAATCACTATGGCTAGGGATGGGCTATATTCTATCCCACTGGGGAAGAATAGTAGCTAACATAAAGCACTTATGTTAATTAGGATTAGCCAACCTCACAAGAAACCTCAAGGATAGGTACTATTGTTATCTGCATTTTACCGATGAGGCAGAGAAGAAGCTTTGCCATGACTCTAGAACTGCATTCTTAACAGCAAAGGGGTCTTGGGGGTGTGGTAATACTGGGGAAGCAACCAATTTGTTCACTCTTGGGACCTGGTGCCTCATAAGCTGTTGGGTCTAGTTTAAAGCCTGGGGCTAAGGGCTGACTTTAAGGTCATGGCGTTTAGTGGAGAAATCCTTTCCCTTGAGTTTTAGGCAGGGGGCCATTCCCTGCCTTATCATCTAACCTAGGTCTCTGGAAAACACAGATTGCCCCATTTCTACTTCCCTAATCATAACTTTCACACCATAGATCCCCTTCCTTCCTGAAGAACAACTCCACTTGGAATATGTGTCATTTTCTGCCCTCCTTGGCAAGTGGCACAGCTCAGCCAGATCAAAGGAGTACACATTTGGAGTGCTTATTCATAACCATAACTGCTAACCTCATTTAAAGAAGTCTGAATATTATTTGGCCAGAAAAAATATTATAAATCTGAAGTTTTCTATTTTATCCCAAATTGTCGAATGCATTTACACCAAACAACAATGAAAACAAATATGCGAAAGCTGAGTGGTAAAGAATGAAAAAAAAAATGTAGGTATTAATTTTATATGTTGTTAGTATTTTCAGAGTATTAAACAACAGTGGTTCTCCTTATTTGGATTCCAGACTCTGTCACTTCTCATGGCATTCAGGTGCTCCCATGAGACAGCCTCCCTCAGCACTATTTCAGAGTCATCTGGTACTCAGGCTTCATCTTGTCTCTGTATAGCTTCCTATCCAGTGCTAAAGATATTATCTAGTCTGTTCAGCCTGGGCCAGGAACAAGTGCCAGCCTTGGCCTCTTGTCATGTTTCCAGAAGAGACTTGCCCCAAGTTCACAGACAAGTAAGGGAAAGAAAGCCCTTGACTCAGCATAAACGATGCTGGGAATCTGATGGCTAAGTCACCTCACCATTCAACCTTTCCATCTCTGCTCCTTATATTCTCCCCATTACCACTGACGCCATTTTTCTTTCAGTCTATTTGCACTATGGATATGGCTTCCTGCCTGGCAGAGTGCCCCTTAGGATACAGGATGCAAGATCCTAGATGAGAAGGGCTCAGGGATTACAATCATCCTAGACTTCTCTGCTCCTAGGTGTTTCTCTAGCTGCCTTCACTATTCCTGGCTTCTGGGACCCTTAACTAGCCTGGGCTGGGTGAGGAAAATCCTTCCCTTCGGCTGGACTGAGACTGGCCTAAATTTCTTAGAAATAAAATTGGGAAACTAAAGGAAAAGAAAACCTAAGAGACATATAAAAGTCAAGAAGCAAACAGTTCCAGCACACAGACTACCTCAGTGATGACCCACTGCTACAGATTACCTTGGCTGGCGCCTGACTTTGTCCCACTCAACTCTGTATTCTGTGTTGCTATGCCTCCACGTCCTGGAGGATCTACCTTAGGTCTTTGGTCTCTTTTAGTTATGAAACAGACATCCACTTTGAGCATGATTAGACCAAAACCATAAAATATTTTGCTCGTAAATTCAAGGAAGAGTTGAAACTGAAAAGTGGGAAAGAGCATGGATATAACTCAGAAATAACTAGAATTCATGCATCAAGTATCGCTATGGTCCCCTCCCTATAATATTTGCCTTTCTCCAGTTGCAAACTTCACTTCAGAGCAAGTGGCAAGAAACCTCGCCGTTGAAAACTCTCCAGCTTCACACCTCGTGGTTTCTACTATTGAAGAGACACTGTGGCTATTTTTTATTTGTCGTATTTAAAGAACCCCAGGTTCGGCTTGAGTTAGATGCTCACTATGAAGCATTCAGCTATGATAAGAGAGGAAGAGTCATGTAAGGATGTGATGGCTGTAGAGGTAGTGTTTCAAATCAGTGAGAATAACAACTATTCACTGAATGGTGTTAGGCAAATAGCTATCTCACACTAGTCGTAAAAATGAATACTAGACAGATTAAAAAGCATAAAAAATTGTCAAAGTATTAGAAGAAAATATAGAATATCTTTAAGCCCTTAGAAGAGGGAAGGCCTTTTTAAGACATGAAAAGTAAAAAGTATATAAGGAAAGAGGGGTACATCTAAAAACACCAAAAAGAAAGCTGAAAGTTAAGTGATATTGGTGACCATATAATTCAGGTCAGGTGTCCTGGGAAATAGACTTTGAGATGGACACTTGCACACAAGAAATTTGTCAAAAGTACCCTTGGGATCAATACTATGGGGGAGAAATGGAAGTGGGATTGAGCGAAGAGCGCGTGGAACCGCGATGTGGCGCAACAAAAGCTTGGGGGATCCTGATCTCTCAGGGAGCTCTGGAATTGAGCTGTCTTGAAATGAAGAAAGGAGGTTGGTTTTTGTATCCCACATTGACGAATCACTGGATGTGGGTAGCTTCCAGGGAGGGGACATGACCTGGGTAAAGTGGCTCTTTTCAGTGAGGTCAAGTTCTGGAGAAGCTCAGCTGAGAGCTGTCAGCATCTGGGGAAATCTGGTTGGCATCCCACAGCATCCGCTGCAGTGATACATATACCAGACAAGAGTGGTACCCATATTATATAAAGAACTTTTACTTCTCAATTAGAACAAGACATAGTACTCAACAGAGTAGTTAGCGAAAGATATAAACAGGAGATTAGCAGAAGAAATAAAAATGGCTAATATACCGTAGTAGTGATCAGGGAACTGCAAATTAAAAGCTGCCATGATGTCATTTTTCAATGAGCAGATGGTCAAAAATTAGAGCACTTAGTAAATGTTGGCGAAAGTTTAGAAAATAGATATTTTTATATACTGCTAGTATGAATAGAATAAAGAGTGAAGCCAATTCTACCAAGCAATTCTGCTGCTTAATATCTGCAATGACATTAGCATATGTGTATAAAGAGGCATTGCTTGCACTAGGAATAAATTAGAAATAACCTAAAAGTCCATCCATGGTGGAAAATAAA